AGGAAGCTGGAAGGACCATGATTGAAGCAGCCGGTCTACCCAAAAGATTTTGGGCAGAAGCAATAAACACAGCTTGCTACACCCAGAACAGAAGTCTTATTCATAAGACTTACAAGAAGACTCCATATGAGCTATGGAAAGAAAGAAAACCAAAAATCAGTTATTTCCATGAATTCGGATGTAAATGTTTTATTCTAAACAATGGAAAAGACTATCTCAAATCATTTGATCCAAAATCAGATGAAGGGATCTTCTTGGGCTACTCAACAAATAGCAAGGCTTTCAGAATCTTCAACAAAAGAACTCTGGTGGTAGAAGAATCAATTCATGTGGCCTTTGACAATCACTCCTATGCCAAAACAAAAGAAGGAGAATCAACTGGGAAAAAAAAAAGATAACTGAAAAGGCTCCAAGCTGCCTTCCCAGCACCTACAAGAATCATGAAGCTGCAGGTGTCTCACACAATGGACAACTACCAGCTGATGGATCAATTCAAATTACTTCTTCACAACAACCAACTGAATCATTAACAACAACAGAAGTTCCTGTTCCCTCAACTCTACCAGAAAATAGTGAAGAAGAAGAGGAGGATGAGCAACAAACTCAAGTCAACAGAACCTCTGACATCAGATGGACAAATCAACATCCGCCTCAACAAATCATAGGAAACATCCATGAAGGGGTTCGAACTAGATCATCATTCCAGAGAGAAGCTATGTTTTCTTGCTTCATCTCACAAAATGAACCCAAGAAAATTGAAGAAGCCCTCTCAGACTCAGACTGGATACTAGCCATGCAAGAAGAACTCAACCAATTTGAACGAAATGAAGTATGGCAACTTGTACCCAGACCCTATCATCAACATGTGATAGGAACTAAATGGGTATTCAGAAACAAAATGAATGAGGAAGGCACAATCATCAAGAACAAGGCCAGACTAGTAGCCAAAGGCTACTGTCAAGAAGAAGGAATAGATTTTGATGAAACTTTTGCTCCTGTTGCCAGACTTGAAGCAATAAGAATATTCCTTGCTTATGCTGCCTATAAGCAATTCACAGTCTATCAAATGGATGTGAAAAGTGCCTTCCTAAATGGTCTACTAGAAGAGGAGGTCTATGTGGAGCAACCTCCTGGATTTGAAATCAACAGAGAGAAAGATCAAGTATTCAAACTAAAGAAGGCTCTCTATGGACTCAAACAAGCTCCAAGAGCATGGTATGACACTCTCTCTCAATACTTAGTGAACAACGGTTTCACTAAAGGCAAAGTAGATAAAACTCTGTTCAAAAGTGAAGAAGGTCCACACATACTGCTCGTCCAAGTTTATGTGGATGACATAATCTTTGGAAGCTCAAATCAGGCATTATGTAAGAAATTTTCAACTCTCATGCAAAACAAGTTTGAAATAAGCATGATGGGAGAGTTGAACTATTTCCTAGGACTACAAGTGAAGCAGACTCCACAAGGTATCTTCATCAACCAAGCAAAGTACACAAGAGATCTCATGAAGAAATTCAAAATTGAGAACAAGTCTACTGTAAAGATCCCCATGAACACCTCTCAAGGACTGACTCCAGATGAAGATGGAAAAGACACTGATCCTACACTCTATAGAGGTCTGATTGGCTCTCTGCTATATCTCCCAACTAGTAGGCCAGATATCTCCTACTCAGTTGGGGTATGTGCAAGGTTTCAATCAAAACCCAAAGAAAGCCATCTTCTTGCAGCAAAGAAAATCCTACGATATCTAAAAGGAAATCCTAACTCTGGATTATGGTATCCAACAAATGGAAATTTTGATCTATATGGATATTCAGACTCAGACTTTGCTGGGTGCAAAATTGACAGAAAAAGCACCTCTGGAACTTGTCAAATGATTGGAGGAAGACTTGTTTCTTGGTTCAGCAAGAAACAACACTCAATTGCCACAAGCACTGCTGAAGCAGAATACATAGCAGCAGGCAGCTGCTGTGCACAAATACTATGGATGAAGCAGCAATTGAGGGATTATGGAGAGGAAACAAAGGAAGTCAGCATTCTGTGTGACAACACAAGTGCTATAGCAATAACTCATAATCCAGTATTTCACTCAAGAACCAAGCATATTGAGATCAGACACCATTTCATCAGAGAACATGTTGAGAAGAAAACCATCAGATTGGAGTACATCCCCACAGAAAAGCAGCTGGCTGACATCTTCACGAAGCCCTTAAATGAAGCCAGGTTTAATTCTCTAAGACAAGACCTAGGAATGCTTGATGATCTGGATCAAAGTAGAGAATAAAATGTGCAACAACTCAGGGGGAATTCCACTCAAAGAACTCAATTATGAGGGGGAATTACCAAAAGCATCAACTCAGGGGGAAATGTACTCAACCATCCAACAAAATGAGCATCAAAGAAGTTGGAGCACAAAAGATGACAAAGACAAAGGGAATGAAGCTCTATGGTCCTTATACAAAAGGTCTCAAAAGTGTATCAGAAGACCCCAGATCAGAAGACCCAAGATCAGAAGTCCTTGGATCCTATCAGAAAATCCCAGATCAGAAATCCTTGGATCCTATCAGAAGACCTCAGATCAGAGGATCTTAGATACTATCAGAAGATCTCCGATCAGAGGACCTTGGATACCATCAGAAGACCTAAGATCAGAAGGTCTAAAACTATCAGAAGGTCTCAGACCAAACCAACGGAGAAGACCTCACAGACAATCTCTTAAGCTAAAACAGACAGCTACCTCAACCAAAGGAAGAATGACTATAACAAAAGGCGTCAGGAATCTACGCATGCATGCAACTACGACACATGGTGATTCAATAAAATCTTGGGAAGCAGCATCATTAAATTGGTAAGTTCCTCCAACCAATTTTTCTCTTCTATCTATGCTGATTTTATTCTTGAAAAGAACATCAAGCCGTAATTCCATTAATACGCTTCGAATTCTCAACCAAGAATCCCAAACGATGCATGCAAGTATAAATATCATCGTTGATCCTCAAATAAACAAGCATCTTTTGCAAAACACAAATCTCTACTAAAAGGTCCTCTTCAAACACACCTTAGCCAAAACACTCCAATGGCACACCACAGACTCAACCTAAATCTCTCCTTAGGCCCCCCAAATGCTCCTGATAAATTCATCAGTGACCTAGAATCATGGATAATCTACACCACTGACAAGGATTCTCTTGACCAAGAGAGACAGAGAGTCCTAAAGTGGAAGTATTGGAGACTCGCTCCAATCGACCAACTTCTTCTTATGGCACCCCTCATCCCAAAAGAAGAAGAATTTGCTCTCAAATGGTTGGGAGCAAGCTTCATAGAAGAAGCCCTTTCCCAGGAATTCATCGAGAAGGTCTACAACCAAAAATTAGACCAACTCAAAAGAACTCGAAGAAAAAGGAAACTGGATGAAGGAGAATCATCTAGGAGACAGAACTAATCTAGGTGTTAGCTGCTGCCAAAAAGGGGGAAAATAGAATCTAGCTCATCTTTGTTTTATGTATTCAGAATCTAGTTTTTGGCATCATCAAAAAAAGGGAAATTGTTAGGCCCCTCAGACTTTGATAAAATACAGTTTTGATGATGCCATCCTCCCTTGATGTTTAGATTTTCTATTCAATATTGAATGATCATTGTGTGAACTGAAGTATGGTCCAAAAAGGAAGGTGACAAAATTAGGAATGTATAAATTGTGTCACAAAATAAATATACTGGAAATATAAAATGCAATAAGGTAAATCCCTATGATGAGTCATTTTCACAATGAAGCTCAACGGGTGTCGGGATATGGAAGTCCCGGATATCGTCTCACGGGACGGTGTATATGGAAAATCAAGTGTGAAATCAATCTAGAAATCTAACATGTAAGCTAGCCAAGTCGAAGTATGTTTAGTTTAAGAGAATAACTAAATTGCAATGGGGGTAAATAACAATTAAACTAGAAGGGAAGCGGGGGCATACAAGGAACAACCTATGATTAAGGATAAGGGGTCAAAATGGGGATACTTGGGAATATGTCATGCAACAAGGGGATAGGTACAAGTTCCCTTGCCACTCTCATGGTCAAGGGGGTACTAAGGGCTCCTATTGGCCATTCTCATGGTCCAATAGAAATCCAAAGTCATGCAAAGAAGACCAACCAACAATTTATTCCCCTACTTTCTCCCATTCTCATGGAGGAAGGTAGTGTGTGTGTGAATGTGTCAAAAGGAACCCTACAAGTCTCCTTGAGGATCCAAAACATCATCCAAGAACATTGTGGCCATCAAAGTCTTAGAAATACAAAGAAGCATTTTCACAAACACATTGTGTGCATAATATATTTCTCAAATTCCCCCAAATCAAACCCCAAAACCTAACACATCACATGGTTGGATGTTCCTCAAACACCCCCAATCCCTAATCCCACTACTCACTCATGCTAGATTTCATATTCATAGGAGAGATATTAGACATAGACATGAAGTGAGATCAATGGATGAGATTAGGGAAAATATGATAATGATGCAATCTAAAGGATTAAATGAAGCTAGATTCAAGATTTGATGCAAATAATATTAAGAAATGAAGTGAAATTGAGTTTAAGCAAGCTTACAACCAAAACTAGGGTTTACAAGAAGAGAGCTCGTCCAAAAATTGTGGAAATTCGAACAAGAATTGCTATTTATACAAATGGGGAATCGGGGGAACGCTAGGCAGGAACGGCGTTCCCCCTCAGCGTTCCTAACTTTACAAAATCAAACAACCCGCTGGCAGAGAGTTCGACGCTGGGAGGAACGCAAATGGGACGTCGTTCTCGCAGGAACGCTGACAGGAACGTCGTTCCCTGCCAGCGTTCCCACACCTGGGACATTGTATCAGAAATCCGGTGGAACAAAACGGGGGAACGCCGGAAGGGACGGCGTCCCCTATGGCGTTCCTGATGCTACTTCCACCAAAACACATCCAAGTCTTCATTTCTTGCTTCCTTGTGCTCCGCTTGGTTCCCGGGGTTTTCAATTCATCCATTTATGCTCTCGAGACTCTTCAAAATGCTCGTTTTCACCCCTACAATGCTCAAATACTTATCATGGTTCCTACAACCAAAATATTGCACAAATTTAACCAAAATGGGGCAAAAATCTTCAAAGGTTAACAAACAAAGACTATATTTTATGAGAAAGTATTAAGTGTTTTCACACCTATCAACTCCCCCACACTTGAGTCTTTGCTTGTCCTCAAGCAAACTAAAACTCGGAGCACAAGTTCAATGAGTTCCCAAGGCACCAACCAATTGAGTCAAGAATGAATGAGTGTATACAAGAAATAGTGAATGTCATGAGACAGAATGCATAATCAAGATAAAGATGCACATTGATTAATTCTTTCAACATAGAGACAAGCAAGGAGTAACACAAGCACACGGTCAACATTTTTCCACTCTTATCCTCACAAGGTCACCTCTCTCTCACATTCTAAACTCAAGGCATGATCAAAAGGACTTATGGGGATGGTTAAGATGGATGAAAGGTATGGGGTAGCAAGGTGATGGTTTAGGCCAAAAATCTAAAAACGGTCAGATGTAAACGTAATCAAAGGTCATCAAGGCACAACTAGGGTTCTTACCCGAAAGGGTATCATCTATAGCTCCGACTTTAGTGGGCAAGCAATGGTACACACTCAAGGCTCAACCACCTGCTAGTGTATACCTTAAGTGTGCAAATGGGTTTTGGTTCAGTATGGGGATGAGTCAACCTTTTTTTTTTTTTTTTTTTTTTTTTTTTGGAATGGTTGGTCATGGATGTGCCTAATTACTGATTTGTCGGGTTATCTCATGTAAAATATACTCTACTCTCGCAGAACACGATTAACGAGTAGAGCAGAGCCCCTTCACGGAGATGAAATTCCCAAGGATAATGTCCCAAACCAATAACTTCGACACAACCTGACAAATGAGGAACATTAGGATTCAAAAGGCGGCCATGCTCACCCTAGTCGTCATTGCATCTCAACCCCCTCAAAGGCAAAATTTAAGGAGAATCCACCCATTGTGTACCTGTCAAAACCTAATGAAAACTCAAACACCCAACACGGTCCCAAGTCGAAGCAATATGGCCATAGAGCAATAATCGGATAGAGAAAGAAATGATCAAGCTCAACGGGGCCTCACCTAAAGGGGACGACGTAGGGTTATGGAAGTGGAAATGTGGATGGGTGGAGGTGAACTAGTGCCTTCATCATTTCATGCAATGAGTGTGAGTGTGTGAAAGATGTGTCTCTAAACTCTCAAGTGGTCAAAATGTGAACTCCTAACAAATCTCAAGCAAAAGAGTTGATCAATGAGCACCTTTAAACAAGTTTATACACCTATTCACATGCATCTACAAACTCATTCTTGACAACAATCAAGAAATGTCAAAGTGACCACACTCAAACCCACAATCACAAGCTTTAGTTCACTTCAAGAAAAGCGCACAACCCCCCCACACTTAGAATCAGGCATCGGCCTCGATGTCTCAACAAGAGAGCACAGTGGAGGGGTTCAAGAACCCAAGCGCAAGCATACAAGCAGATAGGATCATGAAAGCACAACAAAGAGCGTCGGGGCGCCCCCATAAATACAAAAATAAACGTCAAGGCGTCCCCATAAAGTAGCATACATACCGTAGATGAAGAGCAAAGCGTCTGGGTGCCCCCGTAAAGCAAGAGTTTCAAACAGAAAATAAAAATACAAAACTAAAGAAAACAAGTAGTGCATGAGTGAATCATATGAATGGGGGCTGAGTGGCATCAATCATGGGCTCGCTCCCATTTGCAGAAGGCTGACCCGAGCCACCTGGCGGCGGACGGGATGAGGGAAAAGTAGAGACCCGCTCCTCCAGTGAAGTGATGCGACCCATCGCCGTGTCCCAGTTCCCCTCTATACGGGAAATGGAAGACTCTACAGAACGCACACACTGGTGTAGTGCTCCTATGGAAGTGTCAACATGGTCGAATCGTAGGCTGAGACCGGCGATGGCGCGGAGGAGCTCGGCATGTCCAGGGCTCGGGTTATTGAAACGTGGGACGCGGGGGTGGCGGGGTGGGACTCTGCTATCGGTGTCGGTGGCGCCATCTGTCTCGGCATCAGTAGCCGCATCGGTACGACCACCAGCGTCGGTCTCTGTGTCTACCGCTGTATCGATCGGGGGAGTAACATGGGCACCTCCACCACTCGGGTGCAACTGCTCCAGCTTTAGGCGCTGGATCGTTCGAGAGGATATCGGCTCAAAGAAAGCAGGTATGAACGGGCCAAATGGCGCTAACTCCGCAGATGTGCACCCCAAGTACCTGGCCATCATGGTGATAATAGGCCCACAAGTGATCCCGCCCACTGAGCTGCTCTGCTGGGCCACTAACATGCCGGCGACCTCCACTGCTGTGTTGACCCTTGTCCGGGTCGCCATAGAATAGAAGACCGAAAGATCATTGAGATTGAAAGTGGTGGAGTTGCGGGGCTTAAAATGTAGGGAGTGCGCGATGACGTTATGGACCACCTTCCAAGCCGGCGACTTAAGTGATGTGGCTTTGCATTTCTTTGAGTGTAGATCAGGGGCTCCAATGACAGAGTGGGCATTCCAGAAGGCATGGCGATCGCGGCTCGCGGGAGCCTGAAGAGGAAGGGCGTGATACTCTGTGGTGTCAAGGAACTCCTCGCTCCAAAAGCCAAGGGCGACGCCAAGCTGTCCGATAGACATCTGGCGGCGCTTCCCACACGCCATGAAAGAGAAGCGGTAATCTGGGTCCCGAATCGTGTGCTCAATAGTAAGCGTGGAGAGAACTTCATATGTGAGGAGCGAGTGCACCCCCTCACGAATGGAGAAAAAGACTGCCCAATCCCCCCACAGAAGCTCTAAAATCTCATCCCACACCCCCGCCGATGTCAGTGCTACAGGGTCAAATACGCGGGGTCGTACCATGGGCTTTTGATGAAGCCCACTGTAGGTCACCCGGTAGGATGGCTCTTTAGCAAAGTAAGCGATCGGGGGCGGAAGGGACGCAATGGGGATCAAAGGAGGAGGTGGGGCAGTCTTCCGTCTTCGCGATGGCTCATCCGACTCCTCGTCAGTAGCATGAGATGATGGGGCACGACGTCGGGACCGCTTAGATGGCGGTGGGACATCCTTGGGAGCGCGTGAAGATGATGCCGCTTTCTTCCCCTTGGCCCGCGGCATCTGGACAATTTCAATAACAATAAAGAATTAGCCCGGGAACAACCACACTATATCAAAGGATAAGTAGCCCACTAGCGCACTCCCTAAGAATCACAACTATGAAGTACAACACTCAAAGCCCCGACAAAGCAACAAACGCGCGACATGCCACTACAAATCGGAAGAATTTTCATAAGCAAAGCGAGCAACCTACATCCTCACACATTCTTTCCCTTATTGAACAAGCTCAAAAACAAATAATTCAAGGAATTTTAACAGCACTCGTAAGAGCATTCAACAAGAGCATTTAAGGGACTCAATCACAAAACTTTGGGGAAAATCAACGGACTCAAGAATTCATCAACATCATTTTTTTTCACACAAACAACATCACCAAGCATCCAAAACACCCCCACACTTGTCCAAAACAGTAAGATTCAAACAATTTTCGAAAATTTGGGGGTGTTCATACTTAGGTATTTTTTCACAATTCAAGCTCAAGCACAAATTCATCACAAATATCAACAAGAATGAGACACACCATGTTTAAACCGTCACTAAGTGCTCAAGGAACAAGTTCAAATACCTTAGAATCGAATTTAGGAGCAAAAAGTGAAGATTTGAGCCCAACTTGAATTTTCCCCAAAAAGCTTCGAAAATGGCCGGAAATGGCGGAAATCCGGTTTGATGAAGGTTGAAATGGTGTTTAGGTACTGATTCGAGCTTGGTAGGGTTGGATTTTGGGAAGAAAATGGAAGAAAAATCGGAGGGGTCGGGTTTGGGGAAGAGGGACGGCGTTCGGGTTCGAAAAAAAAAAAAAAAAAATGGAGAAGGACGATCTGTTTTTTTTTTTTTTAAACTGCCGACGAGGGAACGCTGGGGAGGAACGCTGTTCCTATCGGCGTTCCCGTCCCTGGGACTTAATTTTAAAACAACGCGCAGGAACGCTAGAGGGAACAACGTTCCTATCCGGCGTTCCTGCACCTGGGAATTTTTTCTGCAAGGTTCCTTCCCAAACACTTTTTCCAGCAAGGTTCCTTCCCAAGCACCAACCTTTTGCACTTTTTTTTTTGAGAAAATTTTCACCTAAACCAAGCTCTCAATCGATTCCCAAACTTCTAACATTGAAATTTTTGCAAGAATTGTTCTAAGACAAGCTTCCAAATTAAGGAAATTAACCCCAAACATATGAATCACAAGTTCACAACAAAGAAAGAGAAACCAACCAAAACAACCAAAGCACAATTATTCAAGTTATCAAATACGTGGGTTGCCTCCCACCAAGCGCTATTTTTAACGTCGTAATGCCCGACGCATATGAGGATTAACTATCAAGGGAGGTGATGAAAGACACCTCCCTTGCCCGCTCAATTTGACCACCAAAATATTTTTTTAAGTGATGGCCGTTGACTTTGAATGTTCCTTTCTCGGGATGTGAGATTTCAACGGTGCCAAATGGGAACACCTTGGTTATTATGAATGGGCCGGACCATCTAGATTTAAGTTTGCCCGGGAAAAGTTTCAACCGGGCATTGAAAAGAAGTACTTGGTCACCCTCCTTAAACTCTTTCCCACTTTTGATATGGAGGTCATGGAAGGCTTTTGTTTTCTCTTTGTAGAGCTTAGAGTTCTCATAAGCCATAAGCCTCCATTCCTCCAACTCATTAAGATGCCACAAACGTTCACTTTGGGCGAGTTCAAGGTCTTGGTTCAAAAGTTTAATTGCCCAATAGGCCTTATGTTCAATCTCCACGGGAAGGTGACATGCCTTCCCGTAGACAAGACGATAAGGAGTGGTGCCTATGGGGGTCTTGAAGGCTGTCCGAAGGGCCCACAATGCATCATCAAGCTTATCGGACCAATCCCTTCGGTGTCTCTCTACGGTTTTCTCAAGAATGGCCTTTATGTCCCGATTGGTGTTCTCTACTTGCCCACTCGTTTGAGGATGATAAGGGACCCCACTCTTATGAGTAACACCGTATTTGGCTAAGAGTTTGCTCATTGGGTCATTTCTAAAATGGGTCCCTCTATCACTAAGCAACACACGAGGCACACCAAATCGGGAGAACAACTTCTTCAAAAACTTAATCACAACCCGTCCATCATTTGTGGGTAAGGCTTGAGCCTCCACCCACTTAGACACGTAGTCTATAGCAACAAGAATAAATTTATTTCCTTTGGAAGATGGGAATGGTCCCATAAAGTCTATGCCCCAAAGATCAAACACCTCACAAGCAAGAATAAAGTTTTGGGGCATTTCATCCCTTTTGGTAACCGTCCCCATCCTTTGACACCTATCACAAGAGCTAACAAATTGATGTGCATCCCGGAATAGAGAGGGCCAAAAGAACCCACATTCGAGGACCTTACGGGCTGTCCGGTTTGAAGAATAGTGACCCCCGGTTGGACCCGAATGGCAATGAAACAAAATATCCAACCCCTCTCTATGAGATACACATCTTCTAATCACATTATCGGGACAAATTCTAAAGAGATAAGGATCTTCCCAAAAGTAGTATTTGAGTTCCGAAAAGAATTTCCTCCTTTGGTGAGGAGAAAAATCCATTGGTAAAACCTTCCCAACCAAATAGTTGGCCAAGTCGGCATACCACGGAATTTCATCACTCACATTTAACAATCTCTCGTCCGGGAAGGTCCCCTCAATATCATGCTCACATAAGGACTCAAGAAAGGGGTTGTCCAACCTTGAAAGGTGATCCGCGGCTAAATTTTCAGCCCCTTTCTTGTCCTTAATCTCCAAATCAAATTCTTGAAGCAATAGTATCCACCGAATCAATCTCGGCTTGGCATCAACTTTTTGCAACAAATATTTTAAAGCCGAGTGGTCGGTGAATACAATCACCTTAGAAAGAATCAAGTAAGACCTAAACTTGTCAAGCGCATATACTATTGCTAGCAACTCTTTCTCAGTTGTGGTGTAATTCTCTTGTGCACAATTGAGAGTTTTGCTAGCATAGCATATGGGCTTGAAATGATTGTCTCTTCTTTGACCTAAAACAGCCCCGATGGAGAAGTCACTAGCATCACACATCAATTCAAAAGGGAGACTCCAATCGGGGGCCACCACGACCGGTGCCGTGATGAGCTTATCCTTAAGACAATTGAAAGCTTCAAGGCATTCTTGGGAAAATACAAAGGGGGCATCTTTTTCAAGCAAATGAGTCAAAGGTCTAGCAATCTTGGAAAAGTCCTTGATGAAACGCCTATAAAAACCCACATGTCCTAGGAAGCTCCTTATGCCTTTGACCGAAGTAGGGGGAGGTAGAGTAGAGATTGCATCAACTTTTGCTTTGTCTACCTCAATTCCCTTACTTGACACTTTATGGCCCAAGACAATTCCTTCTTGTACCATAAAATGACACTTCTCCCAATTAAGGCATAAGTTGACCTCCCGACACCTAACAAGGACTTTTTCAAGATTTTGGAGGCATTGTTCAAAAGAATTACCAAAGATAGAAAAGTCATCCATAAACACCTCCATAAAATCCCCAATGTATTTTCCAAAAATCGCCAACATACAACGCATAAAGGTGGCGGGGGCATTGCATAGACCAAATGGCATCCTCCTATAGGCAAAAGTGCCAAAGGGGCATGTAAAGGTAGTCTTTTCTTGATCTTCCGGGGCTATTGGAATTTGAAAGTACCCCGACATACCATCAAGAAAGCAATAAAATGTGTGCCCCGCCAACCTTTCTAAAATTTGATCAATGAAAGGTAAAGGGAAATGATCCTTACGGGTGGCGGCATTTAGCTTACGGTAGTCGATGCAAACCCGCCAACCCGTGACCACACGTGTAGGAATCAATTCATTCTTTTCATTCTTAACAACGGTCATTCCACCTTTCTTGGGGACAACTTGGGTAGGGCTCACCCAAGGGCTATCCGAGATGGGAAAAATGATACCCACATCAAGCAAACGAATCACCTCATCTCGGACAACAATTTGCATGTTAGGGTTTAGTCTTCTTTGAGGTTGCACTACCGGTCTAGCATTTTCTTCCATTAAAATTTTGTGAGTGCAAAAAGAAGGACTAATCCCTTTCATGTCGGTAAGGGTCCGGGCTAGAGCCTCTTGTTGAGTACTAAGCAAGTGAAGACAAGATTTCTTTTGAGAGGCATCTAGACCGGAAGCAAGAATGACCGGAAGTTTCAAGTTGTTGTCAATAAAAGCATGCTCAAGGTGACATGGAAGAGGTTTAAGATCAAGTGGTGAAGGAGTTATTATTGAAGAATCGGTTTGGAACTCCTCATCCACCACTTTATCTAAGGCCTTTCCATCACCATCATCAACCAAAGCATCACTTAACTCTTCCTCTTTATCTTTCTCAACAATTTCACACTCGAAACAAGAGGAAGTGTTAAGATCCCTTGCTAAATCACCCTCTTGAGACCACAAGTTATAAAGAGTATCCTTGGAGAGCATGTTAGGAATGCACTCCTCAACTAGAGGGTCAATGATATCAATAGAAAAACATTCATCACTAGGAGGATATGGGCGTTTCATGATTTTGGACATGTCAAAGGTGGCTTTTTCATCTCCCACTCTCAATACAAGCTTGCCATCACCAACATCTATGAGAGCCCTAGCGGTGGCCAAGAATGGCCTACCAAGAATGAGGGGCACCTCTAGATCTTGGTCCATGTCCAAAATCACAAAGTCAACCGGAAAGATGAACTTGGCAACTTTAACCAACACGTCTTCTACTATACCCCTAGGATATTTGATAGAACGATCGGCCAATTGAATACACATACGTGTTGGTTTCAAGTCACCAAGCTCAAGTTTCTCAAACAAAGCAAAAGGCATTAAGTTGATACTAGCACCCAAATCCGCCAAAGCTTTATCAAAATTAAGGTTACCAATGAGACAAGGAATGGTGAAGCTCCCCGGATCCTTAAGCTTTTGTGGCATGTCCTTGGTGACCATTGAGGAGCATTCTTCATTGAGCACCACCGTTGAGACCTCTTCGAGCTTCCTTTTGTTGGAGAGGAGGTCCTTGAGAAACTTGGCATACTTTGGCATCTCGGCAAGAGCATCCATGAAAGGGATGTTGACATGTAGTTGCTTGATTATAGCTAAGAACTTCCCAAATTGATCATTGTCAATCTTCTTTGTCAACCGGGCCGGAAAAGGTAGTGGAGGAGTGTAAGCTTTGATAGGCTCCTTACTTTTAGGTTGACCCTCCAATTCCTTCTCCGGTGTAGCCTTCTCTTGGACCTCACTCTTCTTTGGTGCATTTGGATCCTCCCTTGTGGGGCTCACTTGATATTCTTTCTCACTTGGTTCTTCAACTTCTTGTGCCTTGGGTACTTCAACTTCTTTCCCACTTCTAAGAGTAATAGCTTGGCAATGCTCCC